GCTCGCGAGACATTAACGAATCACGATGTTTGGTGATAACCGAATTCAATGATTGTTTTATCGTCCGAACTATTGTTAACGTTTTCTACTTGTCCCGGTTATATGGTGCTTTGGCTGTTTTTGTTATCTATTAAACATACTGCGTAGTTTCACGGATAAAGAGAAGGCATTTAACCCATTAAATGAAAAATACGAGTCAAATAGACACACAAAAAGACACAATGGAATTAGGTTCTATTCTATTTCACGGGTTTAGGGACTTCACTCTATACTATATGGTTTGCACTCTACTGCTTAAAAGCCTGCGACAGCGCTAAAGAGACGGATTGGGTTATATATTCGAGTTATCGTGGATATTATAAAAGGTCACTTATCTATATAGTCGTATTTTTTTCCAGCATAAACACCCTTTACAAACATTACGTTATTGCATGGCAACTGATAGTAAACATGCATCTCATTTATTTGTACGTATTGAAAATGAATAACGAAACTGAAATGGGTAGAGATGATACGTACAGGGGTCGAATTGATGGGTTTGGATGAATGAATGGATGGTTAGACCAGGGAAGGACGAATTGGCAAACTAATTTAATCCTCATGCAACTGCACAAATTTCAAAAGCCATATTCTCTACTTTCCCATATCCCATAATTCTTTGCACCTTGGGTTGCAACCTATCAAAAGGCTGTCCCAAATTGAAACGTTCTTCAATTGATTGACCTGCTTTTATCTGTACAATACTGATTATCAGTTTATTCTGAGTTACGATATAGTTTGCCCGTACAGAACATCAAGAGGTTTGGTGTTACATAATGTATTGACTTACGAAGAAATGTTTAAAAATTAATTTAAACGTCTTCAAGCTTCTATCTTTTTCTGTTTTTTACTTCTTCATTTATTTTTTGGATACCAAACAAGGTATTGTCAACATTGTCTGATCAACCTTCAGCAAAATAAGTGGGTTTTTACCCTCTGGTTACTCCCCAAAGACGTAAAGGATTATGGGGATGTGAAAGTAGAGAGTGTTACGATAATAATCAATCAATCCTACCCATCCAGAAGGGATAATACTGGATTGTCGTCTTCGACGCCTGCGCCACATTGTTGGGTCCGCTGACGACTCTAGGATGAATGCAGTAATCACAACAAAAAGAAGAGCAAGCTTTCCTTTAACGGCCATTCTTTTCAATGTTTTATTCTGAAATATACGGAAAACACAATGTAAATTTAACAGGCGTTAATGAAAGCTAGCGGAATGCTTGTGGCTGTGGAGAAGAGACCATCAAGCCAACTCGGGCTAGGGAAAGGGGGAGATGGGGTTACTCTGGGATACCTTCAAACTTTAGCTAATTTTTCAGTTACTATGTGGGACCTCTATTAAGCGGCCACCTATTAATGGGTCACCCTTTATTCAACGGCCACCTCTATTAGGCGGTCACGGTCGTTATATTTTCCTACCGCAACCAGTAATATAATATTTATTGCTTTTATTACCTCTGTTAAGCGGCCAGTAAGCCTCGTGTTAAAGTGTTTTACGTGAGATGTTAGAATGAATAGGCGACAATTGATAATGACAGGATAATTGTAATTTAATTCGTTGTAACATGAGGTTAATTAGCTATAACGACAATCAAACAAGACGTAAATATCCGCTCTTTACCACAGCATATAAAAATTTAAAGTACTAAAGCTCTGCGTTCTGTTCTGCTACAAGATAACAATAGTTTACGTCTATAAAAATCCTTGCTCCTCAAGTTTTGTTTTAAGCCATTGAATAGAGAACTCGTCTCCTGTGAAGCAGTACTCACTTGGAATTTCCATACCGTAACCTACCCCTCTGTTCACACGCTTGCCTTTCACAACAACTTTGCTTTGATTCGTCGCTCTCTTTAAAAATTTTAACACTCATAAAGCCATAAATTTTGGAATATGCCCAAGAACAGGGCGTGTCCTAGAACCTGGACTGGACTCTGGACTGGACTCTGGACTGGACTCTGGACTTTTCATCTTGGACTAGACTTTCAGTTTTACATGAAAATTATACATCTTTTCATCATTCATTCTCTTCAATACTTATACACATTTAAGATTATATCATTTATTTTCGGCAATGTTCTTTGTGTGTGCGAAAACCTCAAGTTACATGGCTGGTAGTTATAAGTTGTCAATCCTGACAGTTTGACGCGTGTTTGCGCTCGTTCTAAAAAAGCTATCAAAAATCTGAGACACCGTCTTGAAGCTCATCAGAGTATGCTGATGTGTTTTTTGTGGTCATGGCGGAAATTCTGATCCTGTTGGAACATGCCCATCGATGATAGGTAGGATTCGACTTTGAGCATTATAATTTTTTTCTGCTCAAGAACGGCTTAAAATATATTTTCGAAACCTACGTTTATCTAGCTTTTATAGAATAATGTTGAAAAGACAGCGCGAAATTCGGCTTCCGCGCAAAGCGNGACTCTGGACTGGACTCTGGACTGGACTCTGGACTGGACTCTGGACTGGACACTGTGCTCTCGATCAGCTCTGTACCAACCGTACTTATTGTATATCAGGATACGTTCATGAGAAGAATTTTTCAAAAAAATTTTTTTCGATATTTTGATTCATCAAGATGATTACTTACATTTCATGTAAAAAATGTTTTGAAATTATATTTCTAAACGGAGAAAATTGTTCATAGATGTTTTGATCGACACCTTGGCTTCTTCACGGCTCGAGTAAGAATACGCGTTTTTCTCCGAAGGTTTTTAGCCTGCGTGCAGCCGGACTTTTCTCTCGTATAACAGTTAGTTGAGTTCGGCTGCACGCAGGCTAAAGGTTTTGGGCAATAAAGCAACTTCTTTAAAACGTTATAACTCATTCGGATTACAGTGAATCAGGCTGAAATTTCGCACAATTATAATTTACGATGTAATTTAGAAATCGGTATCTCTTTTTGAAATAACTTTGTGCTCGAAAAATATTTTATTCTATTTTGTGAACAGAAACACTTGAGAATTAAACATCCGGATTTGACGTCTAAAAAAGCTATCAAAAATCTGAGACCGTTTTGAAGCTCATTATCAACAGAGTATGCTGATGTGTTTTTTGTGGTCATGGCGGAAATTCTGATCCTGTTGTAACATGCCCATCGATGATAGGTAGGATTCGACTTTGAGCATTATAATTTTTTTCTGCTCAAGAACCAACGGCTTAAAATATATTTTCGAAACCTACGTTTATCTAGCTTTTATAGAATAATGTTGAAAAGACAGCGCGAAATTCGGCTTCCGCGCAAAGCGGCTATCTTAAGGTATCCTGATACCTTAAGATAGACCTTTCTTTATCTGGTTTTTTTTTTTGATAAATTTTAGCTAGTTTTGTAGCTCTCTTTGCCTCAGTTATCTGTCATTCAATCTTCAGCGGTTTTTTCGTAGAAACATGTAGAAATCCCCACTTTAAATTTAGTAAAACTTTTGTTTTTGAAAAATATATTATGTCAAGAAAGGAGCAAGAATTTCTTTGCTTTTGGGCTCTGATAACATGGGGGTCATGAATAAACAGCAAACTGTCAGGATTGACAACTTATAATTCCCAGCCATGTCACTTGAGATTTTCGCTTCCGGCCACACACACACACACACACACACACCGAACATTGCCGAAAATAAATGATATAGCCTTAAATGTGTATAAGTATAGAAGAGAAGAGAACTGGAAGTCTAGTCCAAGATAGAAAGCACAGAGTCCAGTCCAGAGTCCAGTCCAGAGTCCAGTCCAGAGTCCAGTCCAGAGTCCAGTCCAGAGTCCAGTCCAGAGTCCAGTCCAGAGTCCAGTCCAGGTTCTAGGACATGCCCAAGAACAGTTTCACCATTCTGTATCTCATTTTTGTGGCTTGGCTCCGAGTAGACCTCCTATGCGCACTAATCGCTAATTGTGTTTTGTTATATCTAAAAGTAATTCTAATTAACAGTGTATTAAGAGTCGAACGATCCATTTTACTGTGTAAATTCAAAACAATATAGTTAATTGCCGAAAACACGATTTTTTTATTGAACCTCTATTAAGCGGCCAAACTCTATTGAGCGGCCATTTTTCTGGTCCCAAGGGTGACCGCTTAATAAAGGTCCCACTGTATCATACTTTTAAGCCTGATAAAGTACCCCGTCTATTAAACAGTACTTCAAATATATCTTCTATTCTACGATTCAAACCTTTTCAGAAGATATTTCCAACCAAAATCAACCAAAGTCAACCAAAATCGCTGCCACCGGCGTCTTGTTCCGGAGTAGGCCTGTGATAAGCTTGTGATACAAACGGCATGTACCCATACAGACCACATGCATGGCCCATATCCACAAACATCATGTTCTAATCAGTAGCAAAGTAAAACCTTGTATCTAGTTTTGGCGCCAAACAGTGTTGTTGAACGTATGATAAACAGTTAGACAGATTTCTTTTATGCCCATTCCTAAAAAAATCTCTCACCTCGACTGATGCGGCTCCTGCAATTAATGTATGGTATAATCATAAAACAAAATTGTTCCAGTGATGTGCTCTTATTGATTGGAGTAGTACTGACTAGAAGAAAGTCAAATTTGCCTCTTCTAATACGTAACTACTTCCACGGTGATTTACTAGAAAATGAGTTAACTGTCATCACATCTGATACCAATCATGCTTAGGTTTCTCGGTATCTTTTGCTGTTGATTTAACTGAGCACTTCTTCTGATGAGTAACCTCGATTCTTATAGTGGTCTGTATTGGTTAAAACAGCTACTGAAAAACCATTATTTTTATGCTTCCGTCTGTTTAGACTGATGTCGATATATTTTCTCATTCGCTCTAGATAAAAGGAGGTTTTATACACGTCATAAACAATAACATACCAAGGGAGAAAAATGTCTGAAATCAAGTTTACAAAAACATAGTACAAAATAAACCAGAAACCCATTCCGTCATTACCGCGATAAGGATCGAACCTATCGTTTATCATTTCTGAAAATTATCAACATTACTATATTAATGCACATTCAAGCATTTTGTATTACCTGAGGCTCAGTCATCGGGATATGGATCTTCCCGTCCATAAAAATAACTCGCGCGCTGATTGGTTGGTGGGCTTGACGGCATTTTGTACAATGTTTATTGCTTTATTCTGCGACTTTATTCGATGAATTATGGCTAAAATGCTCTAGTATATATAAGCAATTTTACTAAAAATGAAGCTTCTTGTCGAAAATATATGGCTTTATCGACGAGGTCAAGTTCAGCTCGTCGCGATCTAGAAAACTTACATGCAAACCTAAGCTTACTTCCAAAGACTACTACAGTGCGACCAAGGGCACTAGGACACATAGAGTGGTTAGATTTTTATACTGTTTTCCTTCTTCCATTGATTGAATCAAAAATCGTTATATATATGTTACTTATCTTGCTTGACTGTCTGTCTTTGTGTTACTTTACTGCAAAATTGTTGTTTAACTTTAAAGGTCAAAAGGTTTAATATAACCGATTTGAACTCTAGTAACCGCAGCCGTTTGTACAAACATGAACGCGACCGCGTGACGCTCGTTAAGTCAATACTGATTCAACCGCCGACTCGATACTCAAGCCGTTACTGGAATAAGTTCGAATCGGTTATATTTTTATAAGATTTTTGATTATGAACCGCGAAAAATAACTTGATTTATTGTAATTTTTTTGTTTTACACATCCTTCCCGTTTACTACTGATAAACTGCTTCTTAACGATGACAAAACTGAGTGTATTGTGATTGGCACTAAACAGCAACTGGCTAAAGTTCAACTCAATAGCGTTACTATTGGCGATTCAGAAATAACACCTGCATCGACTGTAAAGAACTTAGGGGTGTGGTTCGACTCTACACTATCAATGAACTCACACATTAACAAGACTTGCTCTCCTGCATTATTTCTACTATTTGTATAACATTAGGAAAATACGAAAATACTTGTCCAAGGAATCTACTCAAAAACTTGTCAATATGGCTTTGTTACTAGCAGGACAGATTACTGCACAAATTTCAAAGAGTGCAAAATGCTGCAGCCAGATTAATTCATAATGAATCTAAATATTGTAGGATAACACCGTTACTGTATAATTTGCATTGGCTGCCTGTTACTTTTTGTATAGAAGTTTTGATGTTGTTTTTGATATACAAGGTTTTCAATGGCTGTGTTCCTAAATACTTAAGGGATCTTATTAACATTAAAAAAGAGAGTAGATATAGTTTACGTTCAAATAGCAATGGAATATTACTTGAACATGTTAATTTTAAAACATATAAGACATTAGGAGATGGCGATCATTTATGGTAGCTGCACCTCATTTATGGAACAAGCTACCTTTGGAGGTCAGGACAGCTCCAACTGTGATTAATTCTAAGAAATTATTGAAAACCTTTTTATTTAAGATGGCTTTCGCAGTTGTCGTTTATATCGCTAATAATTTTATACTATTGTTTTTAATCATACATTTTAATATTAGTATAGTTTTAGTTTTATATATATATACAGCGATATGCAGAAATTCTGATCCAACCAAGTATATAGTATATAACTATATCGGGTGCATTGTGGGTAATAGACCCGCGGGATTCAAAGCTAAGTACCAAAGCGTTGGCTGGCCTACCAAGTGTTGTTTTAAATGAACAGCGCTAAAGTCAAGAGGCGGGAATGTGTTTACTTTTTAATACCTCTACGCTATGTCATATTGTAAACGGTTTTATTGATGTAAAGTGAAACATTGGAAGTTTTGCAATTGGTTGAGTTTAAAATCAGTTCTGAAGTCGTTCTTCTTGGAAGTTTCGTTTGAGCTGGGCTCAATTCTGAACTCGTTCTTCGCTTATTTATATGTGCCCTTCTAAAACAATCAATCACTCCGAGGACAGTAAAACCAAAACAGTCAGTAATATGACTTATGACAAAAGTGGTATGAACATTGCTCATGAGCTACTCTGGATAGGATATTTTGCTTTATTCGTAGTCTACCGTGTTATTGTTATTGAGCGTCAACTCAGTCAGATCTCAGTTGGTGAACATACTGAATATAATTTCTAGATAAACGGAGGTTATTTTTACTTAAGAGAGGCACATTCTTCCACTTCTCCTCTGATAACTTAGTGATTCTTTGTGGTTACTTTTTCTTTTGTTTCTCTCTCTCTCTCTCTCTCTCTCTTTAGGCTCAACCTATTAAACGCTTTGCAGTTTTATGCAAAACAAGTTCACTCACGAGAGTGAAAGTTTGAACATTAATCATCATTGCATTAAAGCCGTTTGTATTAATCAAAATTGCAATATATATATATACACTTGATTGCAGAAAGGTTATAGTATACATTTATACAAATACCTAATTTATTCAGTATATTTAATGATATGCAAAACAGAAAACTCGCTTTATTTATTATTTGTTTCATTCAATGAACGTCATAATATTTTATTCTCGTGTTTTACATCCTACAGATTATAAATCAATTGGTTTTGAGGGTTA